TCATTCCTGGAGGCAACCATTATCCTGATACCAAAACCAGAGAAAGACCCAACCAAAAAAGAGAACTATAGGTCTATCTCCCTAATGAATATAGATGCAAAAATTCTCAATAAAATACTAGCAAACAGAATACAACAAATTATCAAGAAGATTATACACCATGACCAAGTGGGATTCATACCAGGAATGCAAGGATGGTTCAATATACGCAAATCAATTAACATAATACACCATGTCAATAGAGCCAAGGACAATAATCACACGATCATCTCCATCAATGCAGAAAAAGCCTTCAGTAAAGTCCAACACTCATTCATGATGAAAACCCTACAGAAAATAGGAATAAACAGCCTTTACTTCAAGCTGATCAAAGCCATCTATGATAAACCAACAGCTAACATCATACTAAATGGTCAAAAATTGAAAGCTTTCACTTTAAAATCAGGAACAAGACAAGGATGTCCACTGTCACCACTCTTATTCAATACAGTTCTGGAAATATTAGCTAGAGCAATTAGACAAGAGAGAAATAAAAGGAATAAGGATAGGAAAGGAAGAAGTGAAATTATCATTATTCACAGATGACATGATACTCTAAATAGAAGACCCCCAAAACTCCACCAAAAGGCTCATGGATTTAATAACCAAATTCAGTAGTGTAGCTGGATACAAAGTTAACACTCAAAAATCAACAGCATTCCTGTACACAAGTAACAAACAGACAGAGAAAGAAATTAGGGAAAACACACCTTTCCCAATAGCATCTAAAATGATGAAATACTTGGGAATCAATCTAACAAAAATCAATCTAACAAATCAATCTAACAAAAGATTCTAACAAAAATCTAACAAAAGATCTATACAGTGAAAATTATAATACTCTGAAAAAAGAGATTGAAGAGGCTATCAGAAAACAGAAAGATATTCCTTACTCATGGATAGGAAGAACCAATATTGTGAAAATGGCCATACTCCCAAAACTGCTATACAGATTCAATGCAATCACAATTAAAATACCATTAGTATACCTCACAGATCTAGAGAAAACATTCCTAAAGTTCATCTGGAACCAGAAGAGGCCTAGAACAGCAAAAGCAATCTTGGAAAACAAAGGAAAGGCAAGAGGCATCACAGTTCCTGACAAAATTATATTACAAAGCTACTCTGATAAAATCAACATGGTACTGGCACAAAAACAGACCTGAAGATCAACAGAACAGATTAGAAGATACAGATACAACTATAAACATACTCAGTCACCTTATCTTCAACAAAGGAGCCAAACATGTTCAATGGAAGGAAGACAGCCTCTTTAATAAACGGTGCTGGAAAAACTGGCTTTCCACATGCTGATGACTAAAACTAGACCCATGTCTTTCACCATGCACTAAATTAAAGTTCAAATGGATCAAAGATCTAAATATTAAAACAGAAACATTAAATTATTGGAAGAGAAATGAGGTAAAAATCTTGACAGCATTGGAGTAGGCAGAGAGTTCATGAACAAAAACCAAACTGTATGGGAAATACTTCAAAGAATCAACAACTGGGATCTCATCTTATTGAAAAGTTTTTGCACATCTAAAGAAATCACCAATAAAGTAAAAAGAAAACCCATGAA